CTTTGCAGTGAAATAGAAAGGAATGTCCTTCCTGTATCGTTTTTCAAACTTCTTCACCCAACAGATGCAAGAAATTGGGAATGAAGCTGGAGTCCCAGATGGCTCCTGACTATTGAAATGGGCCCTGCCTGGCTGCAGAGGCATTAGTCCTGGTGAGTTCTGGGTGTCTGAGCAAGGTGACATCTCATCCACCTTCTCCCATCACAGAAGACACATCATGGGAGGGAATGAAAGTGAGGGAGACTGACTTTTTTCAGTTGTTCCAATTGGCAGGGCAAAAGGCAATGGGTGCCTTTAAATCACATTAAATTCCATCTGAGCATAGGCAAAGTATTTTATAACATGAAGATCATCAAACACTGGAAAAGGGTGCCCAAAGAGGTAGAAGAATCTCCTTTTGTGGCTATTCAACATTCAGCTGGACATGGCCCTGAGCAATCTGCTTTAGGTGATCCAGCTCTGAGCCAGGAATCGGACTAGACCGTCTCCAGTGACACATTCCTAGCTCACTGCACTGTGATGCCTTGTTGTCGTGTCATGCTGCAGAAAGAGATGGGCAAAAGAATGCCTAAGCTCAGTGTGTAATCCCAGGCAGTGTGCAATCCTTTGCTCATTCAAATTGTTACCATTTTTGCAGAGGTAAGTATGTTCAAACTTTATCTGTGCACTTTCTCATTTAGGAGTGCTATATTTTTGATTTTGCAGTAATATTCTCTGATCTAGCTGCTTTTTTTAGGTTAAGTCTCTAAGTTTAGTATTATGTAGCAACTGTCTTCTTAAGCCATTTCACTATGAACTGTAAGTGCTCACTTGGTCCTGTGGTTAAAATGAAATGGTGTCATATTTTGAATCAGCATTGAAAATTACTTTATTATGAGCACATGTACATGTGCAATTAGTTCCTATTACTCTGATGTGCCTTTTGTGGCCAAAGAGGCAACTTGCAGTCAAGTTCTTTGTTATGGAAGTGTATTGCAAAACAATGACATTATTTGGAACCATTGTTCAGTTCTACTCAGCACTTAAAAATTTTGACAGTCCCCAACATTCTTTTAAGAGTCTGAATAGGTTATTTGCTTTAACAAGCAAATAAGGTGAGGTTTTGTATGAATGAAGTATATTGCCTGTCTTGTCTTCATCATGGAGATGATACTTGGAATCGAGGTAACCATCTTTTAATTTTTTCCTTTTAAGTTAAGTACAATGAAACATCCCATAAAACCAAAGAGCTTTCACATATATATTCATATAAGAAAAGAACCTATGAGCCAATAGTCCTATGTTGAACCAGCATAGCACAGAAAATAGATTAAAAAATAATCAATATAGGGACCATATTCTCTCCATGTCACTGATAAATATATATACTGCAAGTATTGAAATATGTCAGTATGTACGCAAATGCTATAGGTTACTGGTTTGATTCTTTGCAAACACCAAATATGATTTTTAGATTGTTTTACAGAATAGAGTTGAGTTCAAAGTGGTCTTATGTCAATAAAAGTATCTTTCATTTCACTTCATCCCTTCCCAATGCCTTAGTCAAGACAAATTTTTTTTTCCTGAGGATTTGTTTCACTTGGGAAAGGAGTACCATTTCCCTTGATGTAAGCTAACTCATGGGAAGTGGCAGCCAACTATAGAAGGCTAAATTCACACAATTTTTCTCTTCTGCCATAATCTATTTCACAAGCCAAAATAAGGAATGTAACCAAAATACTAAGAACATTAAAGCACATAATGTAATAGGTTCTTAGCTAACTTCCTTGGTGTCATTAGGATTACTAGAGACTACGCTTAGCTTGTTTTTGACTCTAGATATGGAGTCTCTGATTCTTTTCAGGGAAAGTGAAGAAACTAAGAAACAGTTTTAACTTTCATTTAGATGCACAGAAACAGACACATTCTAATTCTTTCAAAAACAGTGTACCATTTTGCTGCCCACTGGAAAACAATAAGCAGAGAAGCATATTTTTAAAACATGCAAAATATAACAAAATTAAACAATGTGTTCTGATTAATTCTTTATTTTCAACATCAAATACATTGATAAAAATCTTGCACCAATCAGGTAGCCTACCAGATTTTTTATTTAGACTTTTTTAGAACTTTTTTAGGCGCAAAACAAAGAAAAATATACCTCACCAAAACCAAAGACGTCAATAATTTCATATGCATCAGTGAAAGAACAGAATACTTCGACAAATACATTATAACGGCTGAGCCTATACCAAAGAAAGGACTTTGCATTGACAAACTACATAGTGCACACAAAAGCATTGGTTTCATAGTACATACAATAAGGTAATACATAAAGTGGCTTGGTAATGCAAGTCTCGTGACCTTTTTCAATGGGCACTTTCTAAAGAAACAGACTTCTAATCATAGGCACACAGGATTGCAGAATTTTCTAATTTGCAAGATGGCAGCATATATGTTTTTCTAAATTTTTGTTTATTTATTTTCTTTAGGCACATTTGAATGCAAAAGAATTTAATACATCTCTAATATAGTGCAAAACCAAATACCCTTTATGGGCAACAATCACTTTGAAAACAACTTTCAGGATATAAGGCTACCTACATTTGAAGGATGAAAGGGAACTGTGAGTAGAAAGAGTAGGACATTAATATTGGGAAAACATTAATTTTAAACTCTGAGATCAATTTGAGATTATGCTACACTTGCAGGTGACAGCAAAGATTGGTTTGTATTAGGATACCATTGTTAACATCACCCTTCTATTACATGTGTTGACTCAATATATGTAAAGCCATATCACAGTTGTAGAGAGCATTGAAAATATCAATCTCTTCATTCAAAGTAAGAAATGCACTTCACACAAATTCAGCTGGGAATGCCTGATATACAAAACCCATTATCTGTACGTTGAGTTGCACTCTAATTTTAAAGCAGGAAATTATATACACAGAGGGGCTTGCCATGTTCTTACTAAGCCTGTAATAAGACTAAAGACCTACTGAGGCAGATTTTTTATTTTATTGGTAGTTTGCTTATTTTTAAACATTTGGCACAGGTCTTAAGGAATTAGTTGCCATCAACCGAAATGGATGGAGGCTCCAGTACAAATCCTGATTCATATGAAAGGGATGGTTTGGGTTTTTTTGCTTGCTTTTTTTCAACTCAAGGTCCAGTGATCTGTTGACAGTCCTTGCAATATCCTTGGGAGCTCAGTTTGGATTATTTCTTTAATTACACTTTTAAACCCCTCATTGTAGAGAAGGAGAAAAATCATCAAGTGATGTCACTGAAACATAATAGTAAATTTATCACAACACATACCAAAAAACTTTCATTAAACTGTGTTACCCGAGTACAAATCTTACTGCCTCAACTGGGAGTTTTACCTGAGACAAAGTCTGCAACACTGAGACATGGCTCAAACCACTATAAACCAGAGTAGCTTTCACATATTCAAACACCACATATTCTGACACCACTAAGTGCTACACATCTCTCTATCTCTTCTTCTACCTCCCAAGCTTTTTGCAATACTTCAGTAACAACCATGTTCTCAAGCAAAGCAAATTCATCTGGTCTATTTATGTTTGCCTTGTGCTGGTATTACATTGCCTATGTTTCTAGAGGGTTTCTTTGTTTTTTGATGTTTTTGTTTTTTTAAAAAAATCCATGTATAAACGTTACAAAATAATTATTTTGTTAGCTGTCCAGAGATATCACTATGAATGTTTTGGTAAAAGCATAATTAGCTGCCTTGAAAAGTTTTCTTTCATTTTTTTTACATGCTATATATTTTTATGTAATATCCAGCACCAGATATTCAGGTAGTACTGGTTTGTCAGCTGCAAATATAAAGTATATATGTATATATATATACACACACATAAAATAGCATCGTGTGAAATAACAATTACCAAATGTCAGGCACAATTGTTTGCATACATGAGAGCATCATTCAGAAATATATATGAAAAAAGTGATTTTTGTATCATTGACTTTATTTAATCAATTGAGTAGCTACATTCATCTGTCTGATATGGGGGCCATCTTTATAGATAACTCTGGGAATGTTACTATATTCATTAAGGTGCTGCTTCAATAAATAGCTAATGACATGGATCCTAAATCTGCCCCGAGGTAAATTAATGTATCACTGGGAATCACTCTTTCTAGGTTGCCCTTCACTGTTGCCACCACAAACATGAGAGGACTGGATGAAAGCTAAATTGCTTCCTTGTAAGGCCTGAACCCAGGAAAGAATTAATAGTTATTGTGAGCTGACTGATATTATTTTATATATTCCAAGACACATTATGATACCCTTCTGACTGCTGTGTACCACTTCAAATCATGCTTTTCCATCTTCACTAGGAAAATCTCATGAGAGTAAAGGTACTTTCCCTTTATGGTATCATCCAAATCTGACCCTCTGTTGTGAAATGCTCTCTGTGTAATACCTTTTATGCTCCAGGTCAAATTTACACTTGAATCAATGTAATTACTTATTCTGGGATGTAGGAAGGGAGGCATTCATTTAAACCAATTTGTTTTCCAGCTTATGAGCTTGATCTGTGTGTTCTAGCCTAGACAACAAGTTGCACGTACAGACAGTATTTAAAGAGCAGCTCTAATGCACACTAAGTTACAAGTAAATGATGACGGTGTAAGCACATGAATTTAACTACAGGGATTCCTGTGCTCCATTCAGATCTTAGCCTGCACTCATTTCAGCGAACTCATGGTTTTTCTAACACATATGAAAACCAGCCACTAAAAAAACCCCAAATTTCCATTTTCTTTCATGACATTTAGGAGCCTTCAAAAAGCCCTTAGGTACCAAATAAGCGCTCACACACACACACACATACACACACACACATGCTTTTACTGAACACACAAAAAGACAAAATCTTCAGCACATTCAGAAAAAAATGACACCATAATCATAATATGCATCAAGAAAAGGCCTATGAACTTACGGTGATCGCTTCACATGTTTAGGCTTGCATTTTTCAAACATTGGTAGCATGTAGCTTTAGGCTTTCAAACTGCTCATATCCTCAGATATGTACATTAAACTATTATAGACACCATTATGTACATTCACTAAAGAACTGAATGCTTGACTTGAAGCACAAACCTGTCCTATGCCTTGCTGCCTTCACAACTGCTGTGAAACTTGATCTCACTGCACACAGACTCTGCCTGTGTGACAGGGATTAGACATAGGCACTCCTGTATGGCATTACTTGCACTGTTTCCTATATTGAGTTTCTACGGGATATTCCAATCAACATAAAGGTTTCAACTATAGTAAAAACATCCCTGAACCATTTCACTAGCACTGTTGCCAGCTGCTATGGAGCAGCCTACACATGTGCTAGGAAAACAGCCTCACTGGTAGGGTGGTTTCTTCCAACCAGCTGTTGGAATAGTCCCTGGCCCATGCTAACTCCCAGTCTGCACCTGTAAGTCAGAAGTGCAGATAGCACAGGCAAAGTTTATCATTACATTAGTAAAATAACCCTGGCATATGTAATAATCTCATTCCAGTACCCAGCAAAGTTCCCTGACATTTAGTTTTCTAGCACAGAGCCAGTCAAACAGCAGCACCAACTCCTAATTTGGATAGCATATCATGTGGAGTTCTTCAGTTTCTTTTGCGTCTTGTTGAAACTCTTGATGTCAGTAGACCTTTTGTATATTTACAGTTGGTCTGAAGAATCAAACTGATCCTTATGAATATCCTTAGGAGCTACAGACATGCATGGAGAAAGATTCATCTTTTTGGACATGCAGTCCCAAAGTCTGCACCATGTGCGAGGCTCATTGCCTAGTGTTGGTGTCACAGGTGAGCTGGCACTTAACAGTGTGATTTTGAAGCATGCCACAACAAGAGCCAAAGAATGCCAAGGCAAGGAAAAACCTGCTGCTCTGACTGCGATATTAGCCCTCCCACACACAGTTACACCACACTCTGCTGAGTGGGATGGGATCATCCCATCCTTCCGTGCCAGTCTCACACTAGCATCCTCACCCCTTGCTTTGTAGCACAACAAAGCACAGGATAGGGGAGGGATTTTTTGTAAATAGTGCTGGATCCTGCATGTGTGTAAAGACCTTTTTAAAAGACCTGATGATTTTTGTAATCATCTGGTCTGATTCAAGAGTAATTCTCTATGTTATCACTGTTTGCCATGTTGCCCTGGATTTACACTCTTGGGCAACAAAACTATTTAGCTTTCTAGGATCAGACAAAATAGCATGCATGCAAAGCAATTCATCTGGAGGATATGGTAAAGGTACCTAAAAGTTTGGTCAGAATGAGGTTGAAAGGGAGTTGTCTGGTGATGTAAGCCAGCAAGGTAAAATACTATAATTCTCAGACAGCAGTTCCTTTATACTGTAGGAAGAGGCAGGAATCTTACTCACGAAGGCAGTCTCTCACAGTGCAGCTTCCCTATGGCACACTAAGATGCCAGTCAACTTTCTCTTTACACTGCCCAAAAAGTCATCCAGAATCTCTACCAAACTGTTTCAAAGTTTCAAGCAAATAAAGGACTAAGTGAGCTCAGGATTTTGGATGGATATTAACAAAGACCACCACTGATGAAGATACCAATATGCACGGGTGGTATGGCCTATCAATTTATAGCAAAATGAATGTATGCTTCAGATGAGGACTTAGTTACCCAAATAAGATGCAAAATTAAATTAAAACACTGCAAATTTTAAATCAAGTTTGCCAGAAAATCCTTCCTGGCTATCCATGGTAATGAAATGTCTTCCATTTAGGATAAGCAATCAATTTAGGCAAGCGCTTGACAAACACTCATATGGAAAATGCCGGTGTCTGTTGTCACTGGAGTGTTTTCAAAGGTGGCACTGTAGATGAAATGAAGCATGAGCTAGGTAGAACACTGCTGGGTTTCCCATACCACTGTATATGCTGACTCCCATTTATATTGTATTCTGCATATTCTCCTCTTCTTTGCTGCTTACATAGAAAGACTGCAAGGAATGAGATGAAGCTGATGCAGTTGTCAGCTGGCCTCTGTTCTCCTCCTCCACGGGTGCAGCACTCCTGGCTGCTGGCGCGTGCAGCCGGTGAGCGTCCAGCATCTCCAGCAAGAGATCGTAGAGTGGAACTACGTTCTTACACTTCATGTTGTACAGGTGCTCCATTCCTTTGTTGCTGTGGGTTGTGATGAAAAAAGTTACTTCCCAAATATGCTATGGGGTGAGGAAGCCACCAGCTAATAATATTTGCTGTGTTCATATAAATCCTGTCTTGTACTAAACAAATTAGCTGTGCATTTGCTGTACACATTTGCTACAGTTAAGCAGACAGGAGCACCTTGAAAGAATTTTGCAGACAGATGTAGTCAAGAATGTTGCAGGCTGCTATACCTCTAGAATTTCCTTAATTGTACAAATTCTTTTTAGAGGGGGGGAAAAAAGGTTCATTAACCCAAGAACAAAGAAACTCTATAAAATGACACAAGTGAAAAAAATCACATCCCCTGACTTTCCCTCAAAGATCTGTGTATCAGTTCAGGAGGTAAAATCTGCATGTTTCAGCTTTAGTAGCTAAGATGTGGCATTTAATTTACATTTCATTAGCTGAAATAATGAAAATTAAAATCTGTGTAGCAACACTTCCTGTGGTTTCATAATAATAAAATCTATAGCGTATCTTCGTAGAAATTTATCCTCCTAACACCTCATCCACTGAGCAGTTATCTTAAAACATAATTTGGGAGAATCATTTGCTGCAATTACTAATAGTGTGTCAGGCAGCTCACCTCTGATTAGCAAAAGGAATGGTCCTCTAGACTGGAATTTAGTAGTGCTGCATTTATCCTCATCCATACAATTCACATAATAATCCTAAATCTCTTTTCTAAAGTGAATTGCAATCATGACACTTGTGAGAAGTGGCTGCACAGAAGTGAGAGTTTTATTAAATCTTATAGGAGACTAAAGTTTGCAGAGCTAGGCTACTCCTACATTAATATTCTACTCAGTGCTTTCCATACACCTGTGTCCAGGTCTGGGGTCCTCACCCTGAGAAAAACTTAGACCTGTTAGAACAGGTTCAGAGCAGGGCCATGAAGGTGATGCAAGGGCTGGAGCACCTCTCCTATGAGGAAAAGCTTAGAGAACTGGAGTTGTTGTTGAACAACTGGAGTTGTTCAGCATGGAGAAGAGAAGGCTCCTTACACAAGCCTTCCAGTACCTGAAGGGCGCCGAGAAGAGAGCTGGAGAGGGACTTTTTACAGGGGCATGCACTGACAGGACAAGGCAGGGTGGCTTCAAACGGAAGGAGGGCAGGTCTAGATGAGGTGCTAGGAAGAAATTCTGTACTGAGAGTTGTGATGCACTAGAAGAGGTTGTCCAGAAAAAATATGGGTCTCCCATCCCTGGAAGTGCTCAAGGCCAGCTTGGACAGGGCTCTGAACAACCTGGTCTAACTGGAAGGCATCCATGCCCATATCTGGAGGGTTGGAACTAGATCATCTTTAAGTTCCCTTCCAAACCAGGCCATTCTATGATACAAGACACACAAGATTAAAAAGCAGATACTCCTTTCTATCAAACTATCAGCATGATCAAACAAAAGGCAGAGGAAAAGACAACTAGAAGGGATAAATGGGGTAAATATTTGCATATGGAATTTTTTTCCTTTTCTTTTTGGTAACAGCCCCTCACAGAGTTTGCCCTCCCATCCATGAAGGAGAAGCGTGTATGTGCATTTGTGACACCTCTGTTGCGTGCGCCCAGTACAGAGGTGCTGACTGTGTGCTTGCTCTCACCTCATGTGTCTGATGTGAGAGAGGATAAGGAGGAGCTGAGCCAGTCGTCTGTGTTGCTGCTGCAGAGAAAGACCTGACTTAGCCATTAAGTGGATCAGAGTATCTGTGATTTTGTCCAGGACACGGTGAATATAGTCTTTCTCTTCCAGAGATTTCAAGGTGCTGGAAAGAAAAGTGTACACACCTAGAGTAGGAGGCAGAAAGAAAAGAAACAAACCACAGACAAAAATTACTTTGGTGGACTCAGAGTTGCCCAAGGTATGCCCTGTGCTGCCTCTTAAGCTGTGTTAAGCCACAGGATCTGACTGTGTGCCAGCTCTCTTGCTTGGCAGCCATGTCGCTGCTCTGAATGACCCTGGAGCATGGATTTGGGCACTATGGGAAAAGCAGGAGGAGGAAGACAATGCCACTTTCCTGCCTGGGTCTCACCAAGGTCTGTACCAGGTGCTGGGTGACACCTGCAGCTAGTCCTATCTGTGGGCTGTGCTCTTTTCCTGGTCACTTGGCTCTGAAACCTTGAGGAGACGCTGTTCCCCTTGAGAGCTCTGGAATATTTACCGACCAACCAACCCAAGCTTTCAGCAGCTTTTGCCATTTCCCCTGTTGTTTAATATTTGATTTTTAGTGATTTTTCTAGACAGTTTAGAACTGAAAAATGTTACCACAAAACATGCAAACAAAACCAGGGGTTTTTAATGGATGTTTGCCTCAACAAAACTCTTCCAACCAAGCAAAAGCCTTGAAAGGTGTGCTCCTTCACCTGAAAAGCTGACTCCGCTTTAAAAACAGTGTCCAAATCAGCTTGTGCAAATTTAGCTGTCTTGAATAGCTTACTGCTGAAAGTGAGCAGCCTGAAGGTTTGGATCAGATAAAAATTTTTCCAGAAGACAAAACACCTTAAAACTCCCTCTCCAACAGCCCCTCTACATCACCTACAAGAGTCTCTAATCCAGGCATAAGAGTTTTTGCTGCTAGTAAATCTTGAGAGCATGAAGCACATCAGCTTTCAAAATGGAAAAGTCTAAACTATTTTGGGCTGTTTTATCTTGATTTTTTTCTGGACAACAACACACAGCCAATATCAGTCAGGTCACAACAACACTGTGCTGCCAAAAGAGAGTTGTTGCATTCAGCATCAGTTTTTAAATCTTTTGGACTGAACCAATAACTCTAAACAGGTCATTTTGCCATAATCCAGACCTGAGGCTCCAGAGGTTTAAGATGTGCATACAGGAATACAATCAAACTGGCTGCATCATAGAGTGTTCATTGTCTTGTGTCTGTAACAGACTTGACAAATCCTATGCTTTGGCCCTTCTGCATCAGCTTACAGAGCAGAGAAGAGATCTGGATTTTGTCCTTGGGAAAAAAATGGTTTCTGGAATAATTTTTTGTTTTTCTGTTCTTTAAAGCAGCATATATAGCAGAACATGGAATGCAGTTATTAAACTATTAAGAATAAAAGACATTCAGACACTAGTATGCACACACAGACAGACATATATGCTATAGCTTGTCAGATATTTATGGTATAGCTTGTTTTTATTGTTTGCAGCCTTGGGGCTACTACTGGATGTGAAGATACTTTGCTGTGCATCTGAGCAGTCAGGGAGTTGAGGTTTTTTTAACATCTTGGCCTCCTTCATCTCCTCACATCATCTGGGTACTTCAAGGAACTGACACCTAGAACTACTGTAACCTACAAGTAGTTTTTATGGTTTTTTTATCTCTCTGCTAAAAAGAAATGTAAATGTGTTTGTGAATGTGAGTGTCTCTGGGAAAGAGTAAGCAAGAAAACTGTTTTAAAAGGATAACTCCAACATAGTACAACTTCTGAAAATTATCAGTCAGAGTGCTTAATTTTGGTAATGGGTACTGCTTCAAATTTGATATAGATAAATAGTACAGTGGCCTCTTTTCTCACATGGCTTTTCATAGCTATTATTATTATTTTTACTGAAATTCACAAACAGAAACTGGTCCTTGGGCTTTTCTCAGCTGAACATTTTTCACCTGATTCTGAACACCCTCACGTACGCCTATTGACAATACAAGGTTTGATAGCTTAACACATACTGTAGGGGCAAGATTCTTAAATATCACTGGCAGAGCACAATCCATTAGAAGGAAATATTAATCTCATAAATGCACAGTGCCTCCAGAGAAGTTTGCTTCAGCCACAGGAAACTATTGTGCTCTTGCAGCAATACCCCATAGCTTCATATTACTGAAACTAGTAAAAGAAAGTAATATTTAGGAGGATTTTTTTTCTCACCTAGGTCTAGTCTAGAAGCTATTAAAAACTGTAAATCACAAAAGCACTCCCCAATAACTGTAGAGAATTCAGGCAACTGCCAGTCAATAACTGCCAAGAAAAATTATGTTTAGTTTTCCTTTCTACACCCTCACAATGATTGCTCCTGCCCCAGGCCATTGACCAGAAATTGCCCAAAAAAAAAATGCTGGCTATCACACACTCATACACATCCAAGCAGAGCTTTCAAATGAGGGTACAGAAAATTGCCTTAGCAAAGTGAAATTTAACAGTCTCCAAGGCCTTTCTAAGCCTAAATTCAATAGCTACCAGGTTGATTTCCAGCTCTTTCTGTAGGTCAGTGTTGTAAAACCTAACAGGCACAATAACAGAGAAAGCACCACCCCACAAGCAAGCAAAGCCTGTTGGTTCACACCCATAACACATACCAGAACAGGATCCTTCGGGGGCTGCAGTGCTACCATGCCAGCACTTGGCATACACCGATAGAATTTTATATCTCTCACCATATATAATTATATATTTGCTGCATTTAACTGTAGAAGCAAATGTCCTCAAAATCTTTTCAGTCACAATAAAACCAAGTTTAAAGTCTTTTTTTGCATTTAGAGTTCAGGCTCACAGAGCAACATCCAATTGCTCTGTAATATTCCACTACACACAATTGCTGTGAAGCTGTAGCAAGACAGGCTGAGGTATGAGGACATTCATCTCTGTACCATGCACTCCTGGAATCATCCAGCCCCCGAAATAAAGAAATAAATAAGCACAATTTATCAGGAATGGAAAAACACCAGGAGAAAAGAATAACAAACAGTCACGTGGAACAATGTATCAGGAGGTCTCCTGTATTCATCAAATCAACAAAATCTTTCCAGCTCTGTGGACTAACCAGCTAACTAATTAGGTTAATCGGCTTCTAAGGCAGATGTGACCTACATCGTCATGTGTAAAATGAAAGCCTGTTGCTTTGCCACATAGCATAGGGTGGTACCATCCACAAATTCCTCTTCTCTGATACACTCAAAAGTAAAACATCTGGCATCATGTTGCCCTTTCATGATTCTAGTATTTATTTTCCAAAGTTAAGTAACAGCTGAATGTGGTTTTTGAAAACACTACTTTGCTTTTTAGTCAAAAGATTTATTGCTGCAGCTTTAGAGGGGGACTTTTAGGTTGGCTATTTAGATGGACACAATTATGTCCTTGTTGTTACAGACATGTTGTCGCCTTAATATGTCAGGAAAACTGTGGTAGTAGCATAAGCATCTACCTTGGTTTACAAAAAAAAACTTCCATCCTTTCTACATGCACTGAGCAAATCTAAAAAAAAAATAAAAACGAAAATTGTGTTCTGTCCAAAACCACATGGAAAAGGAGTGTAAAGATATTAAACAGCCTTGCAACATGTTGCAAAACTAGAAATGTCCAACAAAGGCAATAAACAACACTACTTCATGTGAAGAGACTTCCAGATGTCCAAGGATTTAATAAAGAAATGTTTGTGTACACTCACTGAATTAAATCCACACAACGATTTAGAATGCAAATGCGGACTGCTTTTAAACACAAGATGCAGCATAATCAGTCCTATTTGTTTAATTAATCCACTTGTTTAAACCATTTTGAGATCTGCTGGTTTAATCACATGCATATATAATGCAGACAGCATAATAAGCCAAAAATTGACTGTGTGTTTATCTGCTGATTCTTTAGTAATAGTTCTTTAGTACTTCTGTGAAGTAAAGCAACTCCAGAAGACATTTTAGAGCATCTATGCCAAACACTTACACAACTCTTACACATATTCCAAATTATGCTACTTATCTCTGTATTGCAGTCTAATTCCTCTTAATTTGAGCATCACGAGAGTCTGATAGTCAGAAACTTGTATCCACATTCCCACTGTCTAGTTATGAAAGTAGTTTGCTGTAGGAATACAAATACTGAAATGTACCTTTATGCATAAAGTTAATGACATCCAATATAGACATACATTCTGTGGCCATACACACATTGAGTTTACAGTTGTCCCATCTCTCTTATATGAAGAAGGAAATCTGCCTCTGATTACCACTGACTTCACTTGCTACATATATTTTTTTCTTTTTTTTTTAACAGTTTTTCCTTAGGGGAGTCTTGTAATGAAAAAATCTCATTAACACAGTGAGATGTGCTTATGAAGAATAGCTAGTGATGCCTGGCAGGGCTTTGTCGAAATAAAATATTTTGTTTTATGAATCAATACTAAATACAAATAGGCACAAAATTTCTCAAGAGCATGACTTAAATTTTTCATGTTCAAGACATGAACATCTAATTTTTTTTATTCAAACCTCCACTTCCATTGTTTCTAACTGAAATTCAAAATTTTTATAAATCAATTATATGTTCTAGATTTATTTAAGAAGTTTAAATATATTAGCTTTGAATATATTAGCTAAAATTCTGGAGGAGCATTACTTCCCAGGAAGAATATTTAACTCTAGGAAATATTCTGTTATAATTATCAGGGCAATAAAAGGAAAATAAAATGCCAAACAGTAATTAGAATTGTCTTATCCTGGCAATTAAGGTAAGGCAATAGCCCTTCATTCCTAATATGCCACTTGCTTTCCTAAAATGTTACTTTTTGGCAATTGGTTACAACCACAACAAAACCTGAACCACATTCATATCTCATAAAACATACATAAAGCATTTTGTATTAAATTGTATAAATACATAATTTTGCTTGGACTTTGAGGAGACAACATCCAAGCTTCCATAAAGAAAAGTGACTGATCAATAAAGCAACATCTGCTGTGTTTACAGTTAGCCTTTGATGTCAATATCCTAAATTTCTTTTTCCTGCAATTTGGGCAAGTGATCTGTTAGACAACTGGTTAAAAAGGAAACAGAGCTGTCCACATCTGTTTTCTCTAGAGGGTGGTACCATCCACAAGTTCAAAGGCAACAGGAAAAACTTTACAAGTGAGTAAATCCTCAGCATTGGGGAACTCTGGCATCTTTAGTCACCAGGTAACAGCTTAGCAGGGAATTTTCTCTAAAGTTTTTTAGTTTGGTGCCTACATTATTATTTTAGATGTCTATCATTTCTATGAGAATACCATGGGTCTCATTTCTGCATATAAAAACAAATTTTCTGGAGGGTTTTTTTTTTTCATTTCAAACAGAAAAGAGTCCTCTGGTGTGCAACAGAAGTCTTCTGTCACAAGTTTCAAGTTAAATTTGCTTTTTCAATCATCTCATGTAAAATTCAAATCATCATAACCTGACACTTGTTATAGAGTCATCTATTTGTGAAGTGTACCTCAGGATGAGATTTATAGCCAAAAACTATAAAGGAAGTGGAAAGTGATTACATCAGTTTTAGATGCCTATAATATAATATAAACTAAACCATGATAAACTCAATCACATTTTTATTTCCTTTTATTTTGCCATCACCTGAGCACTGCAGTTAAGCACTGCCTTTGGGCGCCATGTGTGTGGTTCCAGCTACTTCAGTGTCTTGTAAGCAGAGTTTTAAGACCAGGCAACATCTAGTTCAAAGCACTCCTCTGACCACTCTCCACACCAGCTGCACACAATGTGTCACCTGCTCACTGCATCCATTTTCTGGGCCTCATCTACATCACCAGATTCGACTGCGCTCATCCCTGCCTGGAGGTCCTGCCTGCATCTGTGTTGAAAACTCCTTTCCAATGCTGCTGTCTCAAAATGAAAATGCCATTAAGGGCAGCAAGCAGTGTTCAACCACATGCAGAAGCAGCCACAATTACCCAAGTGACAGCAAAGCACACAACTTACCAGAATTGAGCAGGATGATGGACTTAAGGCACACGAATTCCTCCCCTTGAAGGTTCATCATGCGAAACCGAGCAGCAGTAGCCAGCAGCATGTCAAAAATTTCCACCATGCCCTCTACACATTTCCCTTGATTCCTGTGTGAATACCATCAATGGGGAGACATTCAGTTTTAACCTGATGATGCCAGGAGTTTTTCATCCCCTTGGACCAATACCCTCCAACTTGATTTCATCAGCTCATCAGCAAGTATGTGACTTCCTACTCTGGGCACATCTGATATATGTATGATCACAAAAGCACTGTTCTCAGTGTTCTAAGTAAAATCAATAAACTACTGTGTTTCCAAAAAAAATCAGTTTCAGGAACTCATCACATTACTGTGGTGGAACATTTTAAATTGACTCAACCAAATCCTTATATTTGAGGAAAAGATTTGTTTAAAACTACATTTTGATTTGTGTGTATGTGTTCTGCTTTTATTACTTTGCTTCCTCCTTCTTTTCTTTTTTTCTCTTTAATGTAAATTCTTTACAATTCTCCCTCCCTAACCATTTGCACTTGGTTCTAGCTGCCCTAGCAACCTTTAATGTTCCAACACACTTCTCTCCATGTTCAGTGTCAACATAATCTCTCCTTAAAGAACAAGCTTATTCATGAACTCAGGAAGGACCTAAGAGGCCAAAATCATGTCTGTATGACTGATTAAAACTATCAGTTCAGTCCATATATCGAGTAGCTTTTTACATTGCAGCATTAAACAAAGCTGAAGTTTGGAACATCTCAAAGTGTTCATTAGTAATGGCAATTAGCCATCTCCTTCTGCTCACAGTGCAAGGCATTCCCACTCACTAATTCTCATCTTGCACACTCAACCTGCAGCTGAAGAATTAATGCAGATTGTAATTATTTCTTGTGAAAATTTAGTCTGCAGATCTTTTGGTCATTTTCATTGCTACCCTTTACAAGAACTACCTACTTTTACTTCTATTAGGCCTTCCTGAGTGAAATTTTAATATGTAAGACTTAATGAATGATCCAATCTGCTGTTTAGAAATATAATACTTTTTAGATATGGCTTTCATCAACAAAATTAAGAAGATAATTGCAGGAAAATGCAAAAGAAATTTCAAATTAACAGACTGATTTATAACATGAAAAAGATTGAGCATGTCCTAAGTTCACTGTCACAAGAAACCTGCCCAGACAGAGATACCTGCCTCAGGTCTTAACACAGATGTGCTGTTGAGAACCTGTAGCTGATGTCTGAACCCACACCAGAGCCTCAGACAAAGAAGACATCTTCCCTTCTGACTGCAGACTGAGAAACACCTTTGCACTCTCCAAGTTGTCAGGACAAGTTCCAATGCTTCTGATACAATATATTTGCACACAACTATAGAAAGATTAATTTCCTCTCTGTAGAGTTTAGCACAGAGGACTAGAATCCTTTAATAGTTTTGCATAAACTTAAATAATGCCCAAAAAAAAGTTTGTTTAAGAATTTAGTATTTCAGGATTTTGCAGAAAGAAAAAGCTTCTGTGGATCAAAAAATGGACCCATATTAAAAAGAAAAATATACATTTTCATGCCTGACTGAGATAGTTATTTCATATTAATATGGACCCATATTAAAAAGAAAATAATACATTTTCATGCCTGAGATATTTATTTCATTCCTAGAATCTACAAAATTACTGCAGCCAGCATTCAAAGCTTTTCAAAATATGACACAGTCTGAACAAATTGCAAAATTTGCATGTCTACCATCAGAGGAAAAAAAAGAAACAGGAAGTTATTTGTAAACTCAGACTATTTAACATGCCTTATGGCTCCTCCTGAGACAGACATTTTGATAGCAAGTAAGAATTATTCCAAACCTCCTAGAAAAACAGTTCAATAGACTGTAGTTTACATAATCAATATTCCAATCATGATTCTCTTGCTGACAAGTATGACCTCTGGACAAAAATCCCTAATCCAGCAAGCAACACATATTCCATGTGCTTAAACCAACATGTGTGCCTCTTTCCCGTCAACTGAACTCGCATGATAGAGGATTAATAAAAACTATGTAAATTTAAGAGATTCTAAATTGTTCCCAATCTCTTTTGTTTTGCTATCTGCTGTGTGTGTGAAAGACCAGGGTACTCCATAATGGGGAAAAAAAAAAAAAAAAAAAAAAAAAGAGAAAAGAGTACCTCTTCAGGTAATGTACTTTAGGTGATGTTATATACCCAGGCTTAGGTATTCATGAGTCCATGGAATGGCCTAGAAATTTCTGCTTTATTTTCAGAGGTAGAAAGCAGATCCAACTCTATTGACATCAATGGGAACTGCAGGAGCCAAGTATCTTTGCTATATAGGGTTCTATTAATTTTTTTATTATTATTTAGGCTACAGCAATTATTTTATTTGTGAATCAACAAGAAACTATCTGGAACTGGAATCTCTGGTTCTCCTGAATTGCCTTCTAACTTTCTAACATAAGCTGATAATACCATCACATCTTCACAGTTATGTGTTATGTTGATAGGGAAGCCTATCTGGGAAAGCCTAGAGAAGATTTTCCTGAAAGACAAATTAGCAATAGGTTCAACAATTATCTTTTTCCTAGCATCTTGCTGTTGTCTTTGTGTGCTCTCATCTTACTGAAGAGAAGACAACAAAAGCTTGTTCACTGCACAGCATCACAGTGTATTCTCAGAAGAATCCTTTAAATTTGGCTATTGGGGAATGTTTAGGAAAATTAAATCATTTTAATTAAAGGTCTTAAGTGGCTGCATAAAGGTACTGTGTGTATTAACTTTAGTAGGTCTATAGAATCACAGCACCATCCAGGCCAGAGGGCAATTCAGAATGACTTTAGCCCAGCCTCCCTCTCAAAGCAGGGTCAGCTCACTTATGCAATGCTGGTCTTGAAAATCTCCAAGGCTGGAGACTGCACAACCTCTCTCAGCTTAATTACTTTAGTCATCATGTTTTTTGCCTCCCCTACATCCAGTCAAAACCTTCTCTGCTTCATTTTATTACTCCCATTTCTCAATCTCCCATCAGGCATTTCAATAAAGAGCCTTGACAACCTCCTTGTAGACTGTAGGTTATGCAGACTTAAAAGCCCTTTCTCCTCCAGGCTGAAAAAATCCAATTCTTCCTGCCACAAGGCATGGGGTCTGGCCTTGGTGGCTCTCCACTATGTTTACTGATGTTTATTAATATATTTCCTGTAATAACTGGATTTGATATTCCAGGTAATGAGTGCCACATAAAAGGAGGATAATGGCTTCCCTCCCTCTAATGCCCGTGCTACCAGGGATAGTGGTATCAGTACCAGGGCTATTCCACTGTATGTAGGAGTAAGAATCTAAATTTTATTACCGTCTTGGGAAAAACCTAGACAGCAGGAATACCTTTAACAGAAACACAAGATCAAGTAAACATTAATAATGATGAGTGCTTGGGTGAAGGGAAGAGGGACTCAAGGACTCAATGGATGTTCTCATCAAACTTTTAATTCAAAGGGAAATGCTAAAGACAGATGCACCACCAAAGCAAAGTCTGACTGTGTTTGTTATCTCTGTCTTCTTCTACCATGGTACTTCACTTGATGAAAAGGGACTGCCAAGAACAGATGGGATGCACAAGGCTAGGACAGGGAATTTCAGCTTCAAAAGTAGACTTAGTAACTTCATGATGAAGCCTCTAAATAAGGCTTGGATGTGCTCATAAGCCTAAAGGTAGGTTAGGAAATGGAGAGAGGAAAACTGCAAGGATAACATTCACATTCCCAGTTAGACAGGAGGGCATTCACATATTTAACTCAAGTGCCCATGCTCTGACACAGAAGAACAGTAATTCTGTGCACAGACTTCCAAACAAGAGAGGATCTTTATATACATTAATGTATTCTATATAAACTAGATCTATTAATAGACATTGGTAGAAGCTTTCTACTCCTATGTGAAGCAATGCACTAAAGCAGCTTAAGGAGGTGGGATGTCAGGAAAGCTCCATCTGCAAGGATTTAAGACCAAATCAAGAACATCTACTTGGATGCCTTAAATACTGCCAGACAGGTATTATAGGGCTAGTTAACTAACAGAGCATTCCACCTTTTCTCAATGCTGTGCTTTATCAGTCATTAAAAGATGAGAAAATTGTTATCAGTAGAGAAATTTTTCTTCAGACCATCCTGCATTTAATCAGTAACACCAAGGAATTGTGGAAAAAGTCTGGGGAAAAGTAAGCAGGAAAAAAATTAAAATCTGAAAAAAAAATAACTCCAAAGCTCTAGGAAAAAAAAAAAAACCAATCTGAAAAGAGCAGGAATCAAAGAGAAAAGCAGAAACTACCAAGCGAAAAGTAAATCAAAGTGTCAGATGTGAATCCTGCTGATAAAGAGAAATGCTTTTTCTTCTGTCATTATCCAGGAGGTTAGATATCATTTTACTTTGGAAAAAATGTTGTTTTGATCACAGCAATCTAGCTTGCACCTTCACACAAATCAACCAATAAGTGGTAGGTGGCCATGAAGGTGTGAGCTACGGAAAGGGACAGATTAATTATATGCAGGTCTTGTTCTGCAGTTCTGTTTTGTTGTTTTCCATGTGGTTTTTGGTTTAGGGATTAGGGGATTTTTTAATTGACTTGTTCATAAGCCTTCAGAGGTAGCAACATCTTTTGCTCATCCCATTTCTCCCTGAATACTGGTTTTCAATTAACACACCCTGGGGAACTTCACAGACTACAGTCAAAGGCTGGTATTACAGCCTGCAATTCCAGAGCGTGCTGTTAAGACCCCATTGTTTCTTATTCAATATCAGCTTAAGAACAAATATTTGGGTCAATTCCTGGCTAAAACATATTCAAAATTTACAAAATTAGTCCAATATTTAAAAGTCATCATTGAAAAACATATGCAATAAATACGAAGTAGCACATTTATCAATAAAAAAGAGAAAAAAAATATCCATTTTGAAGTTATTTTCACCTAGAGTTAGTCACAGGTTATCAGAGCTGCTGATGTTGCATGAATTATCTGGAAATAATCTAGTTCAGTGGCCCTGCTCAGGCCTATATATTGCTGGATTTTCAGTATCTCCAAGGACTGAGACTCCAAAACCTCTTGTCCTGTCA